ATTCCCCGCTCGACACTTACACGGAAAATGGCTTTGCTTACTTCACCTCATAGAAAAATGGGTCCAGCAACAGAGTTATCTGAAAAAGAAGAAAAGAATTGCAAACAGCACTTCTGTTGCCGGTCCATCTACATGTCCTAACTGGAAGACCCATGAAAAAAGAAATATTTTGTATTATGAGGACAAAGAAGATGAAGGCTTCAATGTACCCACACCGTTTAAGAAATGCCTAGTTATCCACAGAAAATCAGAGGATATAAAAACCCCTAAACAAAAACGAAAAATATTTCCAGCTGTTGTGTCCAGTGAAAAATATAGAGAATTTTATGAAAAGGAGATAAATAAGAAAAAAAATGTTACGCAGAGGAAAAAAGCAAAAAGTTCCCATAGAAATGATGTTAACGAAAAAGAAGACACTTCTGATTCAAACATGGAAATTTCATATGCAGATGAAGACCTTTATTTCAGTGAACCAGAAAATCTCATTTTGGTAGATGGGCAGTATGTTATAATTAAATATGAAAATACCTATATATTATCCAGGTAATAATAGTAACCAAGTGTTATTATATAAGTTACTCACTTTATTTTACAGGTGTAATCCATAAACATGATTATGATGGCGCAGAAGTGCGAACTATGGAAAGTGCAGGTATTAATTCCTGGAAATGGCCTGTAAAAGAAGATGTGCTATATTATTTCAAAGAGGATATTATACTTACCATTAAAGAACCACAACTGAAAAATAATAGAGGTTGTTTTGATGTCCCTGAAATAAAGAAATTTGTTTAAAATTACTTTTTATGCACAGTGTCCATTACTGGCTAATTTAGGGTTCCACATGTCATGCCTCTGAGTCCATTACTGGCACATATGTATATTTTTCAATAAAAAATCGATAACTAATTCAGTTTTATTATTTATGTATTTCAATCTCTTCAGTCGTATTCTGTATGAAAATAACATATACATGCAAATCATTACTTCACTTACTGTAGATTACGTATTTTTCATAAATGCCTAAACACTAAACTTTCTTAAGAGTGTCCATTATTAGGTCAGTCACCTTGTATCCTGGGATTCGCTGAAACACAAATTTTTGAGAGCTAATTACATTACTGGCTGAGAGTAACATAACCCCACATAACCTATTACCCGCGAAAAATGTCTATGTAAGTGATTCGTATTGCATCGTTGAGAAACGTTACAGAAATGTACAAGTTTTATTATCTCAGAAAGATTATTCAACATTTTTTATTTCGTTATTCATTTGTGAAAATATTGAAAATTAATTGAAAACATTTGGAGTAAGAATTTCAAACCTAAAATAAAAACTACTGTGATTCAGACTTTCGGTGTGATATATCGACAACTCTGTGATGTTCGAAGAACATCGTGGCCACCAGGGGGGGAGATAAGAATTCGTAAACGTTTTAAATTCATCATTTAAAACACTGAGGAAGCGCCTTCCTCAATTAGACCAGGAGCTGAAGACATATGACGTTCTCCAATTTTTTATCGCATGCTTTTTTAAGGCTTTATAATTCATGAGGAAAAGTGATTTTCTTTTTGTGGAGCATTTTCGTGCTTTTCCGCGATATTATACTGTCTGCCGTTGTAATATACAGAAGCTCTAACAAATCTAATCGCTAATAATTGATGACATGCAATCAGCAGCTGCCGAAAGGGCTCAAAAGGTTAAGAAAAACTGAAAAAAATTAAAGGGGACTTCCATGTTTTCAAATTGCATGCTGATATAAAGATTTCAATTATAAGTAACAAAAACAAAATTGTAATACTGGTTTTCCAGTATATATGGTTTTCCGTGATTCCAAACTGCCATTAGAAAAATACGTCATTTGTATAATTAATTAATAGTAGGTAATTTGGCATGCGCACCAAGATTTTGCAAAATAAAGGCACTGATGACGAAACTTGCAAGAAACACTGTAATAATAACATACTATGCGAATCTCAATGTGAATTCTCTTTTCTGGAAGATGTATATATTGGTTTAAATAATGAAGAATTTATTGAGGCAGTATTCTGTGATTTCTCAAAAGCGGTCGACTGCGTGAACCATTTAACACTATTATTTAAACTTCAGTGCTATGGTTATAGAGGATTGTCATATAACTGACTTTACAGTTAACTAACAGGCATGGAGCAGTTAGTAAAACTCCAAGGAAACACATCGCCTATTAAGAATAATTCATCAGGTGTATCACAAAGTTCGGTTCTGGATCCTATCCTTTTCTTACTTTATCTGAATGATCTGGTAATAATTCATTAAAGGAAAGTTCACACTTTTTGCGGATGACACCACGATCCTTTGGTGTGGGACAAATGAAGATAATCTCAGAGACATCAATACTCTATAGAGTTAAACAGTGGTGCGATTCAAACTCCTTATGTTTCAACACAAATAAAACAAACATAGTTTGCTTCAAACTCAATTTTGATGACTAACCTATATAAAATCACGCTATAGTCAACAAAACTCACACCAAATTTTTGGGGGTATTTATAGATGATAAATTGAAATTTGATGAGCAAATAACGAATTTATGCAGAAAATAGTATCTGGCTGCTATGCAGTTCGAGTTGTTTCTAACGAACTCAATCAATCCTCAGCCAGAAGTGTGTATTTTTCCTTGATAGAGTTGCACTTGCAATATGGAATTGCCTTTTGGGACTTTTGTAATCAGCAACTATTAAATTCAGTATTCGTTCTACAGAAAAGGGGGCTGTCAGATACATATGTAGGGAAAATCACAAGACCACTGCAAACCACTTTTCATCAGTCAGAAAATTGTATCTGTACCTTGTTTATTCTTTTTAGAAATACTGACAGACGTTACCACACGAGAGAAAGTCGCAAAATTTTCTTTGATATATGAGAGCAAAAAAATATACAACCACCTTCCAATGTGCTATAGAGCAATAGCAAATTTTAAAAAATTCAGAAAGTTAGTTAAAGGAGTACTTCTGCAAAAAGCGTACTATGACTTAAAGGAATATTACGATGATGTATTTTACCTCTTAGTATTTCAGATGCTTACATATCTGTAATGATTTATTTATTTATCATCTGTAATGGTATATATTATTTTATTCATGTGTATTCGTATATGTANCTTTTGAAAGGGATGCAGTGTAAAATGGAAGAACGTCATCTACCACCAGCTACTGGTCTGAATAATAGCTCGATAGCTCTGCTGAAGTTATGGCAGTAAATTACTCTTGCAGTTATGACAAAAATAATGAGTGTGATACATCATTGAAAAGGAAATGTTGTGGCCTTTCCATTACTGAACTTGAAATTATGTGCTTCCATTAAAAAAAAATTGCAAAAAGCCATGTTGAATTTCTCTGAATACAATAATGTAATCTTGGATTTTGGTGTTGATGGGCTACCACTGCAAAATCAGTACAAAATCATTTTTTGGCCCATATTATGTAAAATTTCTAACCTTCCCTCATCACCTGTTTTTACTGTGGCCATATTTTGTGGTAGCGAAAAACCTATATACATGATTTTTTCAGAAATTTATAGAAGAACTCCTTCATTTGAAAGCATCAGGTTTTATTTGTAATGACAAAATTGTAAAAATTAATATTCGGGCTATCTGTTGTGATACTCCTGCTCGTGCATTCATCAAAAATACAAAGGCACATAATGGATATCAAGGTTGTGACAAGTGTGAAATTAGAGGCGTTTGTGTGAATCGAAAAATGTTATTTAAAGATTTATCAGCACCTTGTAGAACTGACAACAGTTTTAATTTGCGATTAGATGAAGAACATCATAAAGGTATTAGTCCTTTAGAACATCTTGAAATTGGCATGGTCACATCATTTCCTATAGATTATATGCATTGTGTCTGCTTAGGAGTAATGAGAAAGCTGTTATTTTTATGGAGAGACGGTAGCAGATTATATCGAATTACTGGAGACTCTTTAATCAGATTGGAAAATGGTTTAAAATCATTACGAAACTACTAGCCAAGTGAATTTAACCGAAAACCTAGGTCAATTAGAGAGTTGGAGAGATGGAAGGCAACTGAGTTCCGTCAGTTTCTCCTTTATATCGGTCCCATTTTGTTGAAAAATATTTTACCCCCTCATGTATATGCAAATTTTATGCT